CCGTTTGATAGAAATACGTCCGATTGTCCTACTTTCTCTCTATCAAAAGCCTTACATGAGAACAAAAGTCTTCCTCTCCTCAATTATCTCCATGAAAAGTCGCGTAAATGTCTAAGCTGCATACGGGGGTTAGGAATCTTACAGGTGTAAATTAGGTCCAAAGATTTCCATACTTCATCGGACCAGAAGTAAGACAACCGAAAAATCAAAAGGCCTCTCTGGATTAAATATTAACTAAAATGCCAGGCTGGTTCTGCATCAGAAGATTCTCCTACAGCACGGACGTCACGTGCAAATTCGGATTTAATTTGCCATAGAGGGGGAGTAGAATTCGCTACCTGAAACAGAACAGATGAGAAAGGAAAGTGAGCTCGAATTGAAATTTTAAATTTTTACGATCGGAGGACGCATACATCTTTCTGAGCTACTTTTAAAATTCATCCTCTCGAGGCGAAGGCCATCTAGTCGCTTTGGAAATTTCATAAAATTGACCGCTTTTGGAATCCGAAATTCGACTGCCTGCATTTTTAACCATCATCGATTTTGAATCTTTTATTTATGTATTTATTTATATTAGTATTAGTTCTTCATTCTCCTCCTCCCGCGGTGCGCTGTTCACGTGTCGCCATTTGGTCCTGCCTTTAAATGATAATGCTCTCGGTAATATTTGAGATGAGATTGTTTGAGCGATTAACTTACAAGAATGGTTCAATAATCGTGTTCATGCCGAATTTATGAAGGACATTTCCACACGTTCCTCGTCATCTGCAAAAGTCTCTCTCTGTTCCCGCTTCCTCATAGCGTTACACTCAAGCATGTTAAATGACCGTATGTGGAATTTCAGATATATGCTTTCCACTCCCTTGCTCTTATCATTGATACATTTTCCCCGAATATGGCGGTTACGGTGGCCTTTCAAATATTACTAGAGCCATTTTGGCAGATTTTTAACCCCCTCCGACCGTGAGCTGAGCTCTCACTCCCCTTCCCCCCAATTTCTTTTATATAAAAATAATAATAAAAAAAGAAGAAAAAAAACCCCAGAAAAATAGCATGAAGAGTTACTGAAAAAATATTTTTAATGGAAAATATTATTATTTTTATTCATTTAATTCTTTTCAAAAATAGTGGGAGGCTCATATAAGCCTAGATCCAACCCCCTTCTCCTTATGTATATTTTTGTCTGGACTTTTTCTTTTTTTTAAACTTTTCCGCAAAGACAAAAACGTTAGGATACGCACTCAAAATGTTCTTTTGAAATGTTCTTAGGTCAGGAAGTGCAGGGCCGCAGCCTACATTTCAGAAGAGCCACAGCGTTGTAATTTATTAAATGTATACATTAAAAGAATTCTATCATTTCCCAGAATATTTACAATGTTACGATAAAAATCGGTAATATTCTAGTTAATTTCATCGGCGCGATGGGTGACGTGACGCTGAAATTAAGTTGAGTTTTGAGAGAAACAAGCTAAGCAACGAACACGAAGCGAATTTCAGTACAACGCCTGAATGCAACTATTCGAGCTTCACGGATGTCCGGGTTGCATAAGCACAGAATTGAAGGCGTTTTCACTCTGCAGGCACTTACCACTTACCACTTCATTCGCGGCGCGGCAGCAGGTTGTACTGCTAGAATCAAAAATGAAAGAATGCCTTCAATTCTTCGTTTTTACTCTAGAGACATCCATCACGCTCGTTGCAAAAAAAAACGTGTGGGATGTTAGCACTTTTTCTTTTACAGTTTTGATAAAATGATGTGTTGAGCATGATTTTTGGGGCAACTATTCGTAACTAAGAGGGATCCCTTGGTAAAAATTGGCGATAAGAGCTGCGTTTCAAAATACCATAGGAATTCTTATAGCCGGCTAAAGGAGGCTACAGAAAATCATATAGCTGGCTGTAGAATGCGGAGAAAATCATACGGTCGGGCTATACGAAGCGATAAAAAATTATGCGGCCGAGCTATGGTTCCTATCCCCGGGCTTTACACTTTATCGCCTGGATGTTGCTTTTTCGCAATCGATTATAAAAGGCTATAAGAAATTTTGTAGAAATTCGTGTGCTTCGGAAATCATTGAGTTTGATACGGAACCACCTTAATATTTACAAAACACACATTATATTTTCCTTTTTTTTCATCAATTAAAATGAGAATAATTCATACAGGATGTGCAAACATTTCAAAATCATGAGTTGAATAACGCTGACTCCGCCGGATTAATTATTAGAGCCCAACACAATGCGGAGCGGCGACGCACTGGCGCCTACAAACCTAACAGGGATACTTCACGCATTGCGCAACGCGTGAAGTATCCCTGTTAGGTTTGTAGGAGCCAATGCGCGTTTCGCGCTGGCTGCCCGCCTGCCGCGCCGCAGCGTGCCACGGCGCTTGAAGCAACTATTTCACACCAGTGGTATTGCACAGTATCATACGAAACTGAAGGCGCTCTAATATATCAGGAATGGCAGGCATCCATCAAAAGTACGGAGCTTTCCTCGCAAAATAAATCAAGATACTACGGCACAAAAAGAGAGCGGTAGTCCAAAAACTCAGTAAGTCCTAGCATCCGTAATTAGTAACGTTTAGCATACACTTTATCGCCTGGCTGTTGCTTAATCGCCATCGGCTATAAAAGGCCATACGAAATTGTGTAGCCGGCTATAGAAGCTATTGGAAATCTTACAGCCGGCTGTAGGTCTATGGTATTTTGGAACACAGATTCTACTGCCAATTTTTACCAGGGTCTTCGTAGTATAGACGGGTGTAAAGAATTGAAGGCGCCCTGTCATTTTGGATCCTTGCATTTCAGCCAGCCGACGCGGGTGAAACGGTGAGTGACGAAAGATTCAAAACGCCTTCACTCTGGTGCTTATGCAATACGGACATCCGTAGAGTCCGAATAGTTGTATCCATGCATTATTATGAAATTCGTCAAGTGTTTGTTGCAGGCGATATTAACTAGGGGTGCTATGCTTGTTTCTCTTTCACCTCAACTCAATTTCAATAAACAATTACTGAGTTTTATCGTTACACTGTCAATTTTCCGAAAAATGCATTGATTGTTTAGATTTATTTTAACCTTGCCGGTCCTCAAAATCGCAAAAAATGTAGGCATTTGAGCATGATTTGTAGAGCTTCCTTTAACCTACATTGACGAGTCGTCGTTTGTTTGGAGTTTTCTCCTCTTTTTGAAAGAATCCTCTTAACATTTAAGCGCGAAATTTTTAATGAGTAGTCATCGAAAACAGGCTAAGGTTCCGGGAACATTCTCTAAATGCGCGCGAAAGTATGCAGCGTTTAAAGAATTTTCGTCGGAAATATTCAGCGTTTTCGGTTCCATCAGCTGATTGCCGGAAATACTCTTTGAATGCCCGCAAAAGTATACAGCCTCGAAAGAATATTCACCGGAAATATTCAGCATTTCTGGTTACAATAATTGATCGCCGGATGCACACGCTGATTGCGCGCGCAAGTATAGCTGATCGCCGGTAACAATCTCTCATTGCGCGTAAAACTATACTGAGTCAAGTGAATATTCGCCGGAAATACTTAGCATTTCCGGTTACATCAGCTGACCGCCGGAAACACCCTCTAGCTGAATTCTCGCGAAAGTACACGGTGTCACGTGAATATTCACCGCAAATGCTGACTATTTCCGGTGAATATTCGGTTACAAAGTCTGAACTTCACTACTTGATGCCGCAATCACGCGCTGAATTTAGCAGCTGAATGTGGAAGTCAACAGTCATCGCCTAACAGCTGAAATTTAGCAAATTCGAGTTATTTTCATCCAGATGTGTAAAAGATCTACTTGAATAGTTCGGACAAATTCAACATCAGTCCGATGGTTGCTGAGAATCGTTGCTAAATTTTGCGCGGCACGCGCAAAATTCAGGCATCAGCAGGCCGATGACTTCCACATTCAGCTCCCACATCCAGCGTGTGATTGCGGCATTAGATCAGATTACCAGGGTTCTTGTCAATCTTACTGACAACAAGACACGCTTTCTTTTCACATAAGAAAGACATCGGTCAATCAAATGTAAGTTGGGTCTCTGAAACTAAAGACCTCGGTGTGGTCCGAACCGAAAATGTTGGTGTACCGTATGGCCTGAAGTGCAGTCTTTGAAAATGAAATTTTTTCGGGCAGAACTTAGAAAGCTCTTCTGCGTAAGCCATTGAGGGGCCAACTGACAATGTAGCAACTGTGTTTTCGGTTGACAGGGAGATACCAGCAAGCAAGCGTCAACAACCCAACAGGACGCACAGTAATGTGTTTCCTCGCGAGTGCGTGCGAACGGCGAACGGGTGTGACGAACGTTGCCAAATCTCGCGACGAAACACGGAGCTCCCCGCGGGCCGACGCGGCGTACCCACGCGCCGCGGCAACAGCGCGTCGAGTGTTTGAACTGCGCGGGCCCGGCCCGGCCGGAATGAAAAAGCAAAAATTGAGTCTTGAAAATTAAGCAAGTAAATAGAGGAGCATAATTACTAAACACAAAAATAGAGGATGATTAGGAACAAACTTTTTTTTCCCCGGGTGTCCCGGTCGTGGCCGCGGCTACACATTTCACTCTGCCTTCTTTTCCCCAATTTTGTAAACACGCGGAAAGGAGAGCGGACGCCCGGGCGAGGCGGACGAATAAACAACAAAGAGAAGGAGCCGCGAGTGCAAAGAGACGCGCGAGAGAGAGAGGCGAACCACGTCATACAGCAAATAAGTAAATAAACAAACAAAACACAGAGCAATCAAAACATGTGTTCCATTCGGAGCAGCCAACCATTATACATATGCCATGTTTATTTATTTGTTTTCTAACAGTCTGTGTGAGGAGGACGCGGGGAGGGGGCGAGGGGCCGCGAGAGAGAGACAGAGATGCCGCGCGCGTCTCCGAGCGAGTGAGAAACCCGGGCGCGCGCGACAGAGAGAGCGAACAACTCATATTTAAATAAATAAACCTACTTCCCCCGCTATTGGGAGTGTTTACTTTAACTTCTACGGCTCCTCCGAAGCGAGCACGCTATCCGCGCCGCAGCGCACCGTTCGGGAAACAAAAAAAAAAACCAAGGGATGTGTGCTGTACGGAATTATATTGGCTCTCCTCGCCTCAGACGGAGTCGTGCATTAATCGAACGTCGCGTGCGTTATCTTCGATTGAAACAATAAGTCATTCCAGCGCTCCGGGAACAATTGTTTAACTTTTGATAAACTTAATCTCCGGTGTTAATTCGTCGCTTTAATGAAGCCAGCCCTGGCGTGGCAGTCGCTCCGGTCCCCGATCGCACAATTTATTTCCTTAATTAGCCAATAAATCCTATTTTTAAGTGTTCCTTAAGCCGCGGAGGAACCCGCGACCCGAGTTTTCGCCGACGCGTTTTCCTCACGTGAGCCCGCTGGGTGCTGGGTGAAGGTGTTCCTGCTCGGCTCCAGCCGCGCGCCGCGACGCACACAGTGACACAAGTACACTGACACATACACGCACACGCTCGAAACGAAAATCAAAATTCGAAATGTCTACAATCGCGACCCGGCCTGGCAGTGCGCTAGCAGTCGCGAGATCGTCAGTGCTCTTCAGTTAGTTGTGCGGTAACGTTCATCAGTGCGAGCTCGCTCGTTTCAACCGCGTTATCTCCGATATTTTCGAATAAATTCGATTTTCTCACGTTTCCGAATCTCTTCATTCTGTGCTTCGACTTTTCAGTGCGCATCGGTGGAGTGTTTGTTTTTTTTTCATAAAAAATTTCGATGGTCAAACCACGTGCTTTTTAACATTACTAAAATTCCTGTTCGACGGAAGTGGACCGGCGTTGTGATTGCGCGTTCCAGCCACGATTTCCGTTTATCTTAATGGTGCTTCCTGCCTGATCCCAGTTTCCTGTCTCTCATGGACCTCAGGGTATTGTAGCGCGCCGAGAAAATTCGAGACTGTCAGGTTGTCGCGAATATGCCGTGCGATCCGTGACAGCATGTTACTCAGCTGACATCGGAACTTGGGTTTTTTTACTGTTTAAGTTATTTTAAGTGATAGGATTTTAAAATGAACCACAACGAGGAAGGCCCGATCCAGGGGCCGATCTCCGGGGAGCTGGCTGTGCCCGGCATGAACCACATTATCAACAATAACTCTGTGATACCTATGCTACCCAATCTGCCCTACGCGGCGGCACATCTAGGACTCTATCATCAGCATCTCATCCAGCAAATGAGGCTCATGCCTTATTTCCATCAGTATTTTCAGAGTCTCAGCATACCAAAGTTCTCGGTGAGTGATCTTAGCCAATTTTTCAAACTCTTGCCATGGTTGAACTTTGAAATCACGTGACTCAAGTTTCGTCACTATAGTGCAAAACCACATATCTCCATTGCACTCAAAATGTCCGCTCCAATCTCATTCGGATTACATTTTGCCGAAAGGAACCAATATTTATAGCCCATATTAGAAACAACATACATGCCATTGGCTTCCCTATGCAGATATGTGCTTTTATGGGAGAGCCATAGATAGTGGTACCTTACTGAAAAATGTAATTCATTTTTCCAAAGATAAACAAGCCAACATAACGGCTTAAAATTAATACAGAGTAATCTGCCAACAATGATGAACAATCAAGGAAATTTTCAAAAAATTGTATGGAATAGTTTTATAAAGAAAAAATAAAGTTTGTCAGGAAGTCTAAAACGTCGTAAATGGAGATAAGTGGTTCCGCACTTTGGTCATGTGACCAGAAAGAGGGAAAGCCGAGGGGCCGCCCGCCCCTTCCAAGGCCCCCAAAAATCTACCTAGTCCCCTCCAGAAGATGTGAGGGATTTTACAACTAAGTCCGTGACTATTGAATGTTTCATCTATCATCGTTTCGGATAGAGTAGCTAAAAATTGCTTTAAAAACACTCATGTTTTCAAAATTTTCCCGAAGAGGCCCCTTGAGCCCCCCTCTGAAGCTGAGGAAATCCCTCCGAACCCTCTTTAGAAGCTGATGGAGTCGCTTAAAGCCCCGTTGATGGGATGTGCTTCTGTGCCCCCCAGGCCCCCCTTCTATGAAATGCCCTTGTGCCCCCCAAAAGTTCCGAGGAACGCCCATGGTAGGGTTAAACTAATTACCTATAAGGCGCCAACAGCGGAATACCCGGTTTTGGGTAAAAAACCATCGATTTTCAAGTTTTCTTGCCAAACAATTTCTAGTGCTCTCGCAAACATGGAGTCAAAATTTCAAGCTATAATTTGCCTGATTAACGATGTCATAAAGCGTTTTGAAGTTAGAGCGTTTTTAAGACCGGCAACAGCGCCGACAAATTTAAGACCGGTTTTCTCGAATTTTAAAACCACAGGACGCAAAAAACTACCTTTTGTAATGAGGAACCTTTATTTCTGGCTCATTTCAGAAACAATGTGATAATAGTTTCCTAACGAAGATATGTGCTTTCATGGATGAGCCAGGAAGACGGACTTCTTCTTGAAAAATCAAGTCCACTTTGCTTTCAAATGGTTGACACGAGCGGGGTTTAAAGGTTAAAATTGCAACTTTTTTTTCGACAAAATTGCCGTCAAAAAGTGAAGTTTCAATAGAAATGAAAGTTTGCACGCCCATGAACCAATGCGAAAAGAACATGAAATATCAATATTGAGCGTCAGTTAATTATTTCCGCGTTTGTAATATTCTACGGGGGAAAATGAATAACTACAGTTTCAGTGGTTTCAAGTCACAAGTTCAAACTTCACCGTTTTTCGAGGAGAGGCGTTTTAAACTTTCACTTTTCTGATCTATTCAGGGGGAGGGGGGAATACAAATTTGGCCCATACTGAAAGCATAACAGGATTCTAATTTTTTGTATTTCTGACTTTGTTTTGTCCTCAGAAAAGTAAGGATCCAGCACTATTCTATATCATTCCTTCACATACTGAATTTATTTATCATCGACAGTTAGTTGCACCATGTTGGAAAAATTTTAAATTTTTCTGAAATTTTAAATTTTTCTGAAATTTTAAATTTTTCTGAAATTTTAAATTTTTCTGAAAATTCATAATGAGAATAAAGGTTGCTTGATCCTCATGGGAAGGTAAATTTTGTAGCTCACTTTAGGCTCCGTAAATGACATATGTCTGCAAGAACTGAGCCTCTTTAGAGACCAAGACAAAGAAGTTTAGGTACCCGATTTTAAGGAAAGATAGGGACAGGCAGACAGACAGACAGACAGACAGACAGAATTTCAGATGTCAACTTGATTTCTGCATTCAATGTAAATGCTGAGCCAAATATGGCAGATCCTCTGTTGCACTGCTCTGAATATGTGAAACCCTATTTGGTGCGGACTGTAATCGTGGAACAATCGTAAAATTTGCCATCTCAATTCACAGGAAATTGTAATGAAACTTAGACAGTTTTAAAAATTGAAGTTATACGTATATTATAAGAGGTAATGCCCCCAAAAAGGGGGACAAAAGGAGACACAGCATCGCTTTCGTGCTAACAACCTCCCCCCCCCTACCCCCACCCCATTTGAGCATTTATGAGTCATGATCCGTGACAGCAAAACTGAATTGGCACATCAAACTTCGTAACTTTCATTAAAAATATAGTCCGTTTCGGCGAAAAATCATTATCTTTTCGGTGCCTGCGAGCTAGCAAGCTCTAACTGTCAATGCAGTGCTCTTTTTCCCCCACAATTTTTACCGGCTTTATTTGTAAGCAGCCAATGTGCCGCTTTTCGGCGGAGTTTTTTTTTACATTTTTCCTCGTGTATTGTAATTACTATAGTTGGAACATTTTCTTGTCGTGCGTGCGTCTGTGTGGGGTTTTTCTTTCTTTTTTTAAGTAAGAGTGCGTCCGTGTATCTGTTTCGCAAGCGCGTTCGCGCAAATGAATGTACCTACGTGCGAAAAAATGATGGATGGGTAGATAACCAGGAAAACCTGCATCATTTTCATTGTGACTCTTGTAGGACCGAACGCGTCAATTGATCAAGTACAAAATTGCGTGATTTCGAAATTTTAACCTCCTAGGACCCGGAGATTTCGCAATTTTCAGGGTGCTTCAGTCTTCAGGCCATTTTAACTTTTCGCATTTTGAGTTTTTACACCGTCAAACATTGCAAAAAATCAATCGCCCTTTTGCATCTTAAAATAGAGCATTAGAGTTCGCCAAGAAGTTATCCAATGATGTCAGTGCAGCGCTCTGGCGACTCAAATTATAGAACTTGAAATGGAGAGTCGATATGCACTAGTTCTATAGCACCACTATAAAATAAATGTTAAGACATCTTGCTTTGGGTACTTAGGAGGTTGAAACCGAAGAGGATCACTATAGTAATATTTAAATTGATACCAAGTTCAACCTTGGATACTTACCCTTTATAGCATGGCGTTATGTGAAAGCAACAAATAGTTGCAAATGTAGGTTTAATCTTTTATGGCCTTTTGTTGCATCGAGGTAACGAGTGTTCTTTTCTTTTGGAGGGGAGTGGGAGTGTTGGGAGCTTAATATCCAAATTGAAAAAAAAGCAGAAAAGAAAAAAAAGATACTCTCTTTTTTCCACAATCCTAATAATGATCCTGTACAACACCGATTTTTTCCTCCAAACTCGGTAATTTGCTCATACAATGAAGGGTCACCGCCATAATAGCTCCATCGTGGATCTGAAATTTTTATTGTATCTTTCAGTGAAAATATGATCCGTTTTGAAGAGTCAAACGGGGCAGAGACATGAAAATTCAGTTCAAAAATCTCTTTCATAACTTCAGCTTGAAATTTTTCCTGTGAGTTTGTATGAAATCAGTGCGAATATGTACAATCTACTTATAAATGAACTTGCTTGATGGGCAATCCTTTTTCCCGAAGGAAGTTTGATCAATTTTACTTATAAATGGAAACCGTCAAGAGGGGTGAACCCTGGGAGAGTCGCGATTTTAAAATTAGGTGAATAGGTCTTGCGAGAAATACACTTTTTTAGGCGGAAATAGTGCATATTGACGTCATACAATGTATAGCATATTTTCCTCTTCCATATCTATTTGTTCCATTTTCCGGCCGGTAACAGAATTTTTTTCTTTTTTGCTGGCGAGACGGAATTATTGTTGCCACCCTTCGACGTTTATCACCTGCTGCGCCTGTCACCAACCTTGCTGTAGTAGAGGTTCATGCTGAAAAGATTTTTTCAAATAAGATACACATAATTTGTTTCAAAACTAAGTAAATACGTTTAATCGTGTGATTCGCGTAAAAATCATGGCGATACAAGTAAATACAACCAGTGGCGTGGCGTGAATTGCGATGTATCGATTGTTATGCTATTTAAACCTAAGGAAAAGGATCGATAAACAGGATGTCTGCAGCGAACACCTTAATAATCGATTCTTTATCATAGGTGTAAATGGCGTGACAATCGATATATCGCCATTCACGCCACGCCACTGATTGAATCATATGCATGCATCGTTGTCCGCCATTTCTTTTATCATGAGAGTCCCATGAAACCTGAGATGGCTGAGCCAATCAGAAGTGGATCCTCTAATGGCCATTCTCTCCCTATGGAATCACTGCTGACTTGTACTTCGGACTGCAATGTACTTCGGAGTCTTGATATACTCTTCTGCTTCTGAGTAATGAATGTGTCGCTTGTAACATATGGAGTGAAATATACTTTTAAAACTCAAATCCACCCGCTTTAAATAGAAGAGAGAAAAGACTCGTCATTTCCAAGTGAGTAGGCTCTTCTGATACGAAAATAACGCGTTGTTCGTAACGCGTCTATTCAGTCCAAACGCATAGAATTCAAGATCCTTACGCATGCAGTAAGAATTATTGCGTCAGCTACAATGAGAAAAGAGGGAAGAAGCACAAATGTACCGCGTTTTGCAGAAAGAAACCAAGCAACCAAGCCACATCCTCTGTTACCAAATTTAATTGCGCGATTTCATTGTATACGTGAGAACGTTTGTGCGGATTCTTTTGAAAATTTCAAGGAATTTGCTTCGTACCATGCCAAAAATTCACTGAAATTTGCACACGCGCAACCGTTTACATGTAAAAAATTAAAGTGCCCGATTAAATTTGGCAACAGCGAATGTGGCTTGATTCTTTTCTACTTAACGTGGTCCGAATTTACGACAACACGGAAATATCATAATTTTTTTTGTTGAATTTGTACCTGTGAATTATGACTAAAAATATCAAGTTCATTAAAATTGAGACGCGATGCATCAGGAATCCTACGTCGTTGGGTCCCGTTACGTCATCGCTCTACTTTGCTTACTAGGTTGTACACAAT